CACACACACGCACACACACATGATGCGCAAAACTCCGCACTTGAACAGTCATTAGCAAATACTTAAACTAATAACAAAACAGTAGCTTATTCAGAAGCGCCAGATTGTCATAGTAAAGTCAGAATTACCTCCTCTCCTAGTTTCACGAAACGGTCGTCCATAAAATGCATTGCTGTTCTGTTGTAAGTAATCTTAAAGATTCCTAAATGCATCTACTTTCGGAAGGCCAAATAAAGTGCTTTTGCTTTCGCCTAGAAACACACAGCGTCTCTCTGACATGCTGCTTCAACACTAACTGCGGTTACTGAAACCACGCCTTCTTTCTTTGCGTGCACATTTGGGCGGCATTATGCTAATATTTCCACATAGTGAGGTAGATATGTGGGGGCGTGTTAGAACGAGCCGTTTTAGGGGGGCGTGGCAGAGTCTTAACTTTGATAAAGAATATCTCTTTGGTTTTGAGACTTTAGTCTTTGCAACTTCAGGGATCTTATCTATGCACAATCAGCTTGTAACACTCCAAAGAGAAAGGAAAACTTGAAATCGCATCATATGACCCCTTTAACAGAATAAAATGGTTAATTATGTGTACCTTGGGCATGTTGGATATGGAAATGTGCCTGGATTCTCGGCGCACACGGATGGTAAAGTTGGCTTTAAATGCAGGTTCATCAAAACAAGGGAAGGCAGCTCGAGCATGCGTCGGCTCAAACTGAGTGGATGCCAACGTCCTGCAGGGAGAAAAATCATCCTTTTGAGGTTTTCCATCTTCAAAGCCACTTCAAATACAGTCCGAGTACAACCTTTGAACAACTAACCTAGAGTTAAAACTCAAGCACCAATGTTGTGGGTGTCTTACCTGACCTCTCCGCTGTTTGTGGTATATCTGCCTTTATAAAAGCCATGAAAACTATCTGATAAGTTGGCGTAGAACTCCAAATGCACCACGTGGTTTCCTTTCTCAAATGTGAAGCCATCAGAAAAGAGTGCGATCTGTTCATAGGCTTCAAACTCACTGATTTGCAGATCCTGAGGATGTCTGGGGCCCAAGAGCTGAGCTTTGGAGATCTGCAGGTTCTTGCTGTGAAGGATGATGGCTCTGGTGTCCTGCTCTAGCTCTATGAGAATCTGGACCACTCCGATGAAGGTCAGGGAGGTCAAGTTGGGGTGTATCAGGAGGTCATAGTGCTGGGGCTTCACTGTTTCTGGCAATCTTATCTTATCCCAGGGAAAAGGCAAGGCATTTGTATCTGTGTTGACAGTCATTGCATGGCTGCCAACAAAAAGACCACAGAATAAAACTGCAAATGTAGTGCAGCATAAACACCAAGACTGGGCGAAGAACATGATGAAAAACAGAAGCTGAAGAGGAAAAGGTTTAGTATCAGCTCTCTGACTGTTTCTTGTGGATATGTGCGCTTGTCAGTTGGTTATCATTGTATGAGCACCGTTTATGATACGTAGACGCCACAAGGAAAACACCCCACCACTAATTTTACAATATATCGAACGTTTCATTGATTTTAGGCGACAAACGTTTTGAACGAACCTGGGCACGATATCCGATCAGTAAATGAAAGTGAAAGTACGCAGCTGTCACTCAAAATATCTCATTACCTGTCGTGTAAAGCGACTCGATTTTCCTCTCAGATTATATTATTGCATCCTGGCGCTTACAGCATACCACACGACGTTTTATACAACTGAAAAACACTATATTTGTTTATAAAAGGCATGTGTTTGCGATGAAATTGTGAACGCAGTGATGAAAACTCGTCTCTCGTGAATATTAATTACGTAAAGTGACGTTTGGCGTTTTTACGTCCAACGGCTCTGTAGCTGGCCAATCACAGCGCGAGACTGACTGTTGAATATTAATTAGGTTAAGCTCACAGAGCAACGTCATCAATGACCTTGTTTATTATTAATGAGATAAGCCTTCGCCTCAGTTCTGTTTGTAAATACGTACACCTAAAGTTGGGAAGAAATAGCGACAAAACACACGATAAAACGAAAATAAATAGACATTTCAAGATTGAGCTAGGAGTATACTTTGAACTCTTTTATTTCTGTTTTCCAAATAAATGTTCATACATCACGATTGGAGATTGAGTGGCCAAGTCACTGAACAAAATGTGGTAGATTTTGTGGACAAAAAAAAAAGCAAAAGAAAAAATATATTACATGGCATATGTTTTCAACTTTACTCAGTCACTTAATTCTGCTGGATGACAATTAAACACGCAACTGTTCAAAACAGGCTATTAGAAAATATATAAATGGTCCCTGAGAAAAAGACAAAACATTTTTTGCCAATTACATCCAAACAGGTCAATATCTTACTGTTTGCAAACCTTCCTGAATTGTTTAAGACTTTAGATTAAAATGCATTCATTCTCACAATAGTTCATCATCGCAGATTTTTCTGGATTGGTTTGACTTTAAACTCTTTTAATTGCAAGGAAGAATTCAGGCAGTATTTCCAAAATAATTGAACTTTGACTATATTTGAGTCTAGACTAAACACTAGACTATCCTCATACCAACACTTAAGAATATCTATGGCGATGGATGGTTTCTAACAGTAAGGAAATGCTTCAGTACACACTAAAACTGAATTCCAATAAAGTTCAATCTGAAAAAAAAAAAAAGGTTCCATGCTTGTTTTCAACCTTTAAAACCGGACTAGACATACGCCTGTCATTTAAAACACAAATTCACATGTAAAAAAGAATTACACAGTTTCATTATACAGGGATAGGAACAGGTTTGCGTATCTGCATCTCTGTTTATGAGATTGTCAGTTGTGTGGAAGGATCATACTTTCAGAGCTGCCAGAATTTAATAACTAAATAAAATGAAATAACACTAAATAAATAAAGCACAAAGTTTCCTTTCCATATTAAGCACATTACATGGTTTCATATGAATGCATATACATTCTAAAATGAGCCAGCAAAACATTTTTATTAATAAAAACATTTACAAACGTCCATGAATGCAATTCTGTATTATCTATGTGCATGAAGACATAACTTTTTAGAAGTTTTAGAAGTTTTTTTAAAAGCTAAACAAACAAAGGCTAAAGTTTTTGTTTTTAATTATTTTGCAGGGTTTTTTTTGTTTATTCTCGTCGGTCCAAACGCTATTGCATCACCATCCGATGAGCTTTTGCGTCTCTACGCCTTCTCATCCTTTCCTGCATTTGCATTTGTGAGGGCTGTTGTCTAAACGGTAAAAACACAGTATATTGATACAAATATGACTAAAAAAATAATGCATATAAAACAAAACTATTAAAATACTATTTCTAGAATGCATATAAAACAAACATTTAAGGATGTCACCTGTTCAACCATCCTCTGCATCTTCTCAATGACCGAGATCATCTGACCGCTGTTTTCTCTCAAACTCTTCTCATATGTTTTATTGAGCGTCTCAGCTTTCTCCAGTTTCCTCTTCAGCTCTTTCTGATGGCCCTGCTCCTGTTCATTAGACGCCTGCCTCGCTTCTGCTGCCTCTGAATCACACACACCACACAACCACTCAAATGACCATGGAATATTATGGCAGAAATAAAGCATTACGCCACAAGAGGTTTAAAGGAATAGTTCATCCAAATATGAAAAATTGCTGAAAATGTGCTCACCTTCAGTCCATCCAAGATCTAGATGAGTTTGTTTCTTCATCAGATTTGGAGAAATGTAGCATTACATCACTTGCTCAGCAATGGATGCTCTGCAGTGAATGGGTGCCGTCAGAATGAGAGTCCAAACAGCTGATAAAAACATCACAATAATCCACACCACTCCAGTCCATCAGTTAATGTCTTAAGAAGCCAAAAGCTGTCATTAAGACATTTTAACTTTAAACCGTTGCTTCTGGCCTCTATCCATAAAATTGTTTTCTCCAGTAAAAAAGTGGTCTGGTCTGAATCAGGAGAGAAATCTGCACAGATCAAGCACTGTTTACAAGCCAAAACAGCTCTGAACAAGTATGCGAGTTGATTTTGATGTGAGAGACAACAGGAGATGGACTTTTTCACTGGACTAAGCGTTATTATGGATTATGGACTTGTATTTTGGCCACAAGTGATGGTTTAAAGTTTAAAAACGTCTTGATAATGGATTTGTTTCTTACAAACGCACAGCTTTTGGCTTCTCAAGACATTAACTGATGGACTGGAGTGGTGTGGATTACTTGTGGATTATTGTGATGTTTTTAATCAGCTGTTTGGACTCTCATTCTGACGGCACCCATTCACTGCAGAGCATCCATTGCTGAGCAAGTGATGTAATGCTACATTTCTCCAAATCTGATGAAGAAACAAACTCATCTACATCTTGGATGGCCTGAGGGTGAGCACATTTTCAGCAAATTTGGGTGAACTATTCCTCCAAAGCATTCTGGTCTCACCGAGTCTGGACTGCAGTGCGGCGACACACTTCTCCAGTTCACGTTGGGCCGCTTTGCTGCTCTCCAGCGTCTGCAGTAGGTTTGGTAAATTAATGACGTTCCCTCTGTAGTTCACCAGATCTGTGTTACCGGTGCGACGAGCGGATGCTCTCTCTTTGCATGCCTGGCCGGGCAACATGGCTTTATTTCCTGAGAGGAACACAGCGGCATTTTCATAATGCTACAGACAAATGTGACCCTGGAGCACAAACGCAGTCTTAAGTCGCTGGGGTATATTTGTAGCAATAGCCAACAATACATTGTATGGGTCAAAATTATAAATTTTTCTTTTATTATATTTTTATAATACACATTGCTAAGAACTTCATTTGGACAACTTTAAAGATGATTTTCTCAATATTTAGATTTTTTTGCACCCTCAGATTCCAGATTTTCAAATAGTTGTATCTCAGCCAAATATTGTCCTATCCTAACAAACCACGAAAAAGCTTTCAGATGATGTATAAATCTCAATTAAAAAAAATTGACCCTTATGACTGGTTTAGTGGTCCAGGGTCACAAATGTGTTTACATGCTTTATCAGATCGCATGATTTCCAGCACACACACCCTCAGCACTGATGCTGCCGTCTGTCCGATCGGCGTCTGACCAGCGACTGCACAGATTTCTGTAGAGGCAAAGCCCACCGACTGCAGCCTTTCTGACCAGATCCTGCGCCTGAGGAGAGATGGGACATCAGATACACTGAAAATACATTGTTTTTCCTTATATTCAAAGAATGTATGTCAGTACACTGCAAAACATTTGCTCTTCCTCAGTTCTTGTTTTCTAGTACAAATATCTAAACATTCTTAAGTCAAGATACATTTATTTGAGAAGCAATAAGACTTAAGATATTAAGTTTGATATAAAAAATGTATCAAAATGGAGTGGGTTTATGCTTAAAACAAGAAAGAAATGTCAATAAACTTTTCAGAACAATAAACTTGTTCTCCCTTTGGATTAAGTTTCTTTTTCTTTAAGCATTAAAAAAAAAAACAAGACTTAATATCTTATGAATATTTTTTCATTTTGAATCAAAGTTTGTGATTCATCTCTGAGCTGGTTGATCTTATTCATAGGTTTAAACTCTCAACATAATACTCTAATAAGCACAAAATACAAACACTTCACTATAAAATTCTTGCTATATTGAACTATTTTATTGATACGTATCAAAAAAGGACGAAAAATAAATAAATTTTTTTTTTTCAAATATAACTATACAATAGTAATGATTATGATAATGACTATGATTATTATCATCAATTATTACTATTATTATACTTATTATACTTATACTTATTATTCAAAATATTTTATTTCATATTTTTGATTTCTAAAAATTAAGCAAATCAATTAAGAAATTTACTGCAATACTACTGTAACAAAACAAGTATTTAATAATAATAATCATTTTTATTATTCAAAATATTTGTTATTATTTGAATTCTATTTAAATCAATAAAGAAATATAATGCTATTGCAATATTACTGTACAGTAAAATAAAAACGAGCATTTAATAATAACTAATAATAATACAGTAATAAAAATCATAATTTTATTGTTTTATCATTATTCAAAATATTCCATTTTATTTTATGATTTGAATTCTAGTAAACAAAAAGTAAAAGTAAACATATCAATAAAGGAATATACTACTATTTCAATCATACTATTTGTCTGTAAAATAAAAAAGTATTTAATAATAATTTATTATTAATAATAATAATAATTTTATTTTACAGAACAACAATAAAATTACAATACTAATATTTATGTCTGCCTTCATTTCTTTGATTAAGTGTGTTAAAGCATTATTTTGCAGAATTCTATAAAAACATCTTAGAAGAAGTGAAACCTGAGCAGGACTGAGAAACAGGCCGAGAGACAGCAGGATGTTGAGCAGGTCTGCCTCTCGAAGACTTCCTGTCAGCTGACGGTCAAAGAAGACCCAGGAGAGAAGCACTTTACGGGGAAGTTCAGCCGTCCAGCCCAGAGGACGTTCCTTCAAGCACACAGACAGAGATGTTTGGAGAAGCACTAGACATGTGACGCAGAAGAGAAATGTGATTTCTTACGCTGTCTTTGGACGGCTGATTGTCTCCTCCTGCACTTTGACTTTTACTCTCTTTTAGATGCTCAGATTGTTTTCCAGCCGGTTCGGTCTCGTCCGTCAGTGCGCCGTCTTCTGTCTCTCTCTCCCCATCCTTCTCTTTGAGTTTTCTCTTCTTTGCATCGATCAATCCTTTCTTTTTTGCAGTCTGTTTGTCTGTATTTTTGGGCTCATCCTCCTTTACAGAGAAAAAAGTGTGAAAAAGTTACATTAACAACTGGATTTTCACACACTTTTTTTTTTTAAGTAAAACATAAGTTTACATTTACATATCAACACCTATTTATTAGTCAGCCAATCATAACAGAGGTCATTTACATTTAGAAATAAAACCTTAAAGGTACAGTAGTCTATTTAATGCTGTTTAATAATTGGTTTTGGTCAAAGAAACCTGGACTTAAAAGTGGACTTCACACAAAATTATACAAAGCTAAAAAGCTACAAAAGTATATAATAAAGTGTAAGACACATTTTAATCATTTAGGAGCTTGTCTCCTTTCCCTTTGCACATCCAGATGAATGTGTGTGCAAAAACTAAAACAAAATATTTTTTTCCAGTACCTAAACTTAAAATTGACTAACAAAAATAAAATAAACTTTTTTAAAAATTAAAAGCTTATTTTATTTCAGCTAGTTGCCCAGGCAACATTTCTCATTTTCATTTAATTTAACTTGATGTACTAAAATAACTAAAACTAAAATAAATTAATAAAAACCACATAGACATTAAAAAAAACAATGACAAAAACACTAAAAGCACAAAATTACTAAAACTTTAACTAAAATTTATGTCAGAACAGAAAATACAAAAGTAAATAATTCAAAATATTATTGAAACTATATATACAACAGGGTTATTATAGTTAACTAACTCTAAAACCATTAAAAAATAACAACTTTTTGTTACTTGAAAAAAATTTATAACTTTAACTGAAATTCCAAGCCAACATTTCTCATTTTTTATATAGTTTAACTTGATGTACTAAAATAACTAAAACTGGAAAAAGGATTAAAAAAACTATATAGAAAACTATATATCTTTAAAATAATCATAATAACAATGACAAAAACACTACCAAATTAAAAAAATTAAATATAATTGAAAATATTCAAATGAGAAGTAATTTAAAATAGTATTAAAATTATAATAGTATCTCAGTGATACTAAAGTAACACAGGTGTGCAGTCTAGTGTACCATGGGAGCGCTGTTGTCCTCTTTGACGCCGGGGTCCTGAGGCAGACGGCAGAGACACTGATACAGCTCAAGCCCAAAATCCCTCTGGAGCATCTCACTGAACATCTCCGCCATCAAACTCACCTGATAGCAGCACGAGAGAGCCGTCAGCCAAGACAATAATGCATCTCAATCATGACTGAGCCAGTTTACAACATATGTAACATACACGTTGTATTATTTGTGACCCTGGACCACAAAACCAGTCATAAGGGTCCATTTTTCGAAACTGGACCTTCTGGAAGTGACAAATCACCATCCTGGATGACAGGAAAGAAATTTGAATTCAAGCATATTTCCTATGCATAATATTTATAAACTCTGATGTCAGTCAGTACCAGCTGTTTTTGTGGTAATTTTGCCCAGTCTTCTTCTGCTGGCACTAGATTCCACACATCTGGCAACAACACCACAACCGTCTCCATTTTATCTCCGGAAAGATATCTCAGCTCCGCCATCTTGTGCCTTCAGAGACAGGAAGACATACGTGAAAATTACTAATGAATATATAAAAGACAAAAAGTGAGGCAAAATGACAAAAACACAACCAAATGAATAAAACTTTAACTAAAATTAAAATGAAAACAGAAAACGTTCAAATAAGAACTAATTTAAACTATTATTAAATCTATAACAGTATCTCAGCGATACTAAAATATCACAGGTGTGCAGTCTAGTGTACCTTGGGAGCGCTGTTGTCCTCTTTGACGCTGGGGCCCTGCGGCAGACGGCAGAGACACTGATACAGCTCAAGCCCAAAATCCCTCTGGAGCATCTCACTGAACATCTCCGCCATCAAACTCACCTGATAGCAGCACACGAGAGCCGTCAGCCAAGACAATAATGCATCTCAATCATGACTGAGCCAGTTTACAACATATGTAACATACACGTTGTATTATTTGTGACCCTGGACCACAAAACCAGTCATAAGGGTCCATTTTTCGAAACTGAGATTTATACATCATATCAAGATTCCACACATCTGGCAACAACACCACAACTGTCTGCATTTTATCTCCGGAAAGATATCTCAGCTCCGCCACCTTGTGCCTTCAGAGAGAGCAAGACATTTAGAGACATGTGCAGATTACTAATGAATATATAAAAGACGTAAGGGCCCGGTTTCACAGACGGGGCTTAGCTTAAGCCAGGACTAGGCCATAGTTCAATTAGGATTTTAAAGTAATTTCTATAAACATGCCTTAGAAAAAACATTACTGGAGTGCATCTTGAGACAAAACAAGGGCACTGACATATTTCAAGATCAATCAGTGCAAGTTTCTTTCAGTTGAAACAGCTCAGACTTACACTTTAGTTGGGGACTAGGCTTAAGCCTTGTCTGTGAAACTGGGGGAAGGTGACTTAAATTTTGTTTTTAATTAAGTTTTTAAAGAAGTCTCTTCTGCAAATCTAGGCTGCATTTATTTGATCATAAATAAAGTAAAAAATGAAAAATATGCTGATTTGCTGCTCAAGAAACATCATTGTTTTTTATCATTTTTATTTTCAAGATTCTTTAATGAATAGAAAGTTCAAAAGAACAGCACTGATTTGAAATAGAGATGTTTGTAAGATTAGAAATGTCTCTACTGTCACTTTTGATCAATTTAATGCATACTTGCTAAATAAAAATATTAATTTCTTAAAAAAAATGTATGGATCCCAAACGGATTATGAATGGTAGTGTATTAAAAAGCCATTTCGTATACATATGAAACTTATGTTATGTTTTTCTTATTATTATTAAATTACTTATAGCCTTTCTGTATATAAACAATAACAATTCAACCCGCTTTGGCAAGACAAAAATCAGACCAATAAATCTGAAATGTATTGAACTGAAATGAAAAATGAAATATACAGACCACTGCGTGCAGGCTGAGAGGTCCAGAGCAGTTTGTTCCTTTATGCAGCGGACCGCAGTGTTGACCAGCGTCGAACCGTCCTTCGCTGGATTTGCTCCGTCCGCTTTGGGTGACCAGTGACCTCCTGGAAGCCGCAGTTCACCTCCACTGTCCACCATCACAAACTACAACACAGAGAAAGAGCCAGTGACATAATTATACATCAAACCCTATAAAGCTACTATAAGCCATATAGCCATATACTATGAGCTCTATAAACCATATAAAACTTACCAAAGGCCTCTAAATAGGGATGGGTACCGAGACCTGGTATTAAATTGGCCAGCGTGCTAAATTATGAAAGCGTGGTGCATTGATAAGCTCTGATGTTAATGGTTCTGCTATCGGTACTGGCGAAATTAAGAAAATACACATACATTTATTATTGTTATATAGACATCATCTTGCAAATTCTATCTCGCCAGAGTCGCCAGATGCCAATGCATCGCTATGATGCATTTTTGCTATTCGCAATTCAAAAGAGAGATCGCGCTCACGTGGAGGAGCTACATAAACACAGTTTATGTCTTGGACGTGAACAACTGGGAGAAAATCCGGTGTGTGCCAATATATGCAGTCACCTTCTGATGATTGGGCCAACGACAAAATACAAAGAGAAAATCACTCACAGCTCTTAATCTGAAAACTATGCAGTGCTATTTTACTATTAAAGCAGTTTATTTCATTTGTATTTTTGTTTTATTGTATTTGTCAGTTTGTTTTACTGTTTCCTTGTCTATGTTCTTACTGTATCTTATGTATATAAAACACTAAAAATGACAATTTAGAAATTGATGTTTTATATTCATACCAAAGATATTTACTTTACATTTCAGAATATAAAGCAATATTAAGCTTATATATATATATATATATGTATGTGTGTGTAGTATATATGTATATTAAACAAAAATTACAAATACCCATCCCTACCTTTAAATGATCAACACACAAACTACTCCATGCTTGTTAGTTTAGACTTTTTAGCAAGAAAAGGGCCTTTTAGTATAATTGTAAAAAATGCAGACCTTCAAATCTTTACTGCTTTTATAAAGTAAGTGTAACTGAATGAATGTGCTGCTTTTGAACTAACTGAGTGAGTCAATGATTCAGTGACTCATTCATAAAGACAGTCACTTGATTCGTTTTTTGAATGAATCGGATAAATGAATGACTCCATCATTAAGAATTGCCATCATCTATAGGTAGTTTTAGTTTCTTATTTAGAGTATCATTTCATAAAAAAAAAAAAATGAATACCCATTTTTCCATGGAATCTTTCCAAGGTTTTTTATAGTGGGGAAAACGTTCTTTAGATTACTAAAATGTTCTTCAAAGAAAGAAAAACTTTAAGAATTGTTCACTAAAAGGATTTTTGGGGCATCGCTTGTAAAAGCTCAGTTTTGGAGCTTGTATTGTGTGATTTCAGAGATATTGAGGACTGAATGTTCTTACTTTGAGAAGTGTAGTGGGATGTACGGCCTCCTTCTGCGTCCGACCGTCCTTTGAGAGGTTACAACACTGTGAGTACAAGTCCTCAAGGCACGGCATAGAAAACAACAGAACCTGCGGAGAGAACACAACCATTCTTGAGAATCTGAGCCTTGCATGGTCACATGATCTGTCAAAAGAGCGACACGCGTACCCTAACGGAGAAAGCATCATCTGTGGACTCGCAAACATCTGCTTCACTCTCCGGCTGGTTCGATCCCACGTGAAAGTGACACGGTCCTCTCAGAGGAAGAGGCTGGTCGAGCGGGAAACTCTCGGTCCAGGACAGCTGGAGGTGGAAGAGGTTGGAGGGCAGGTGCAGGTGTGGGTACCGCCGCTGAAGCTCCAGATAATCACAGGCTTGGCTGAAAGAATCAAGAGGAAATGATAATGCGACAATGACAAATGGCAATTTTCCCCAGGTTGTGCAAGCCCTCAACTCTCTGAAAGCTCATCCACAACCCTTCCTCCTGAAACCATGAACACCTCACCCCCTCCCCAGGCCCGGTTCTACGGGGGTGCTAGAAGATGCTAAGCACCCTCAAACGAAATCAACAGCACCCTCAGTTAAAGTTGTAACAATGGCATTTCATTGCAGATTTGTCAAACTACCCAGTGTGTTATGATTAGGGGTGTAAGAAAATATCGATACACGTGAGTATCGCGATATTTTGTTTGGCGATACTGTATCGATTCTCAAAAACGTCAAAAAAAAAATCATACAAGATTCATGGCATGGATTCATTGTTTCGTTTTGAGTTTATATCCCGACCGCTAGATGGCATCTTCATCTCTGAACTTAAACAGTGACAGGAAATAATAGCATTAGGGCACGTCACTAATGTTAGCGTTAATATAGTTCGCTGCTAGTAATGGAGGATGAAAGAATTGTTCCAGTTCCCGTTTCGGTGTACAAAGCTGAAGTGTGGCGTCATTTGGGCTTTTAACGTCCACCTCAAATCTGCAATGGGACCGTGGCACGGGCGCTGCCTCGGTTCCGCCGCTTGCAGCATCCCGTGTGAAGAGCCTCGCGCGGGGCGCAGCAGGCGGTAGGGTCACCGCGCGGCTGCAGCTTTCTCTCGTAGTGGGGGCGTTTTGTGCAGTTGGGGCGGTGCTCGCGTCGCGGTCTCGGCGATTCCACGGGGAACATAAATACAAACTGAAAAACCTGTGAAATCCAAGTGGAAAGGTTCTGAGAATGTTTAACATCTGTATTTATTTATTTATTTTTAAATGGTTTTGTTTTCTTTAGAAATCCTGCAATCACTTTATTTTTCATTGATATTAAGCAGATGTAATTATTTTGTTCAGATCAAAATGTTATGACATTGTATGTTACAATTGTCAACCCCTTAGTGCGTTTTATATTGTTCTTATTGATTCGTATCATTATCTTATCAGTATTTTTGATTTTTTTTCCCCCCCAATTTTTTTTGTTTTTTTTTACAGAAACACTGAATGACCAAAAAAGTACCACCACCTGTCCGAAGTTCAGTTAAAATGACAAATATGCATTCATAAATGGTTAAAACTTAAAATGTGAACCTTTAAAACAGGGTCTAAAAAAATATATGGTCTTTTTTTATAAACTACATATTATACATTTAACTAAATGTACTCTGTACAGACTCGTACTGCACAAAAAGTGGTTCAATAACATTGAATGTTACAGAAAACTGCTCGTGTTGCATGTATGTAGCATCTTTGTTTGGATGATGATTAAAATGCAGTGGTTGCCTCTAATTATATAATCAGTGATTTTATTCTGGAGCCAGGCCTGCACCTCCCCCAACTCATGAAAACTTAATCTTTTTAAGTGTTAAGTTCCACACAAAGGTGAGTGGGCTATACAAACCACCTGTAGTAACACATTCTTTTTCACTGTATGCACATTAGAGACTTTTTATAAACACTCCCTGCTACAAAGGCTCAATATGATAATATATTGTGCATTGCACTACAAATCATCTTGCACTATGCGCTGCTTCCCCCAAAATATCTCTTTTGCACAATTTCATGTAAAGTTTTTATGTAAAGTTCTTGTACAATCTCAGATTATGTGTATGTTTATTCAACTATTTATATAGTATATGTATAGTCCGATGGTTAACTGTTGTATAGGTTTAGAATAGTTTTTCTTATACAGCTATCGTTGTATGTTTATATTTATGTTTAACTAGTATGTAGCACCGTGGTCCTGCGAGACACGACGTTTCGTTCCACACATGTAGTAGAATGACAATAAAGCTCAACTTGACTTGACTTTACGCTTTATCGGAATGTCCCGGCGCGTTGTTTCTGACCGACTTACGTGTCCCTGGAGAAACAGGTGAACAATGGAGCGCTGTGTGTGGATATGGAGCTGCTCTTTTTCGGTGCTTCCTCCTCTGAGGCGGCCCTCCATCTTTTTCGTTTTTGGTGCATGGTGTCTCCTCCCCACGGCCCTCCACCGCCGTCCTCCCTGAGTCATGCCACAAAGAGCAACAAGGACACGCGTCAGCAGAGGAGCGAGTTAAAAACAGGACAGTCTTCAAGGACGGTCACACAAAACAACAGAATGAGGCACTGAAACAAATCAGACTGTAATGTTCTTGCAAACTTTTTGAAAGAAATCAATACTTTTATTCAGAGAGAGAGAGCATTAAATTGATCAAAAGTGACAGTAAAGACATTTACGAACTTGCAAAAGATTCTATAGAAAATAAATGCTGTTCTTCGGAAAATTTTTATTAATCAAAAATGTATCACGGTTTCCATAAACATAGTTTTCAACATTGATAATAATTAGGAATGTTTCTTGAGCAGCAAATCAGCATATTAGAATGATTTCTGAAGATCATGTGACACTGAAGACTGGAGTAATGATGCTGAAAAATTCAGCTTTGATCACAGGAATAAATTACATTTTACAATTAATACAAGTAGAATTTTTTTAATTTTAAATTGTAATAATATTTCACAATTTTCACAATGCAATGCACTCAACTCAATTTAACCTTACATATCTAGTATAACGAATGATACAGATTGATCATCAACCTCAATTTTGCCTTCTTATTTATTCAGACTGCCAAAAGTTCTATGCAAACTTAAACTAAAAATGCAAAATTCTCATTTTAATGTCTATGATATGTAGTTTCAGAAACTAAAATGAATGTTTTCTTCTTTTTTTTCTGAAGAAAGACAAATAATGATAAAAGGCTAAATATTAAATGGCATGGATGAATATTCACGGAGTAATCCACTATTTTGTAGAGGAAGGTCAAAATGTTTTTTCACCTGAGATTTGGAGTCAAATTACAGTGTAATGTGAAATGTAGCGCAGTCATGTGACAACAATGTAGCATAAAGCTGTTCACAAGCATTTCATCATTGCATACTGGATTTTTTTTTTTAAATAGCATGCAGTACACAGTACACTAGTATCCACTGCATTGTGACTCACCAGCGTCCACCTCTACGTCCTCCCATGACCTCAGCGTGTCTCTTCAGTCCTCCACCCCAACCATCAAACGGACCGTTCCAGGACATCTGCTGGTGATGGGACATCTGCATCATGCCACCTGTCACATATCAGACCGCTAAATATTAGATATCATTCTAAAGCATCAGGTGACACTGAAGACTGGAGTAATGAAGCTGAAAATTCACATTTGATTACAGCAATCAATTACATTTGAACTTATATTCAAACAGAAAACAGTTATTTTAAATTGTAAAAATATTTCACAATTTTAGTGTTTTTACTGCTCAAATAAATGCAGCCTTGGTGAGCAGAATAAGAGCCTTTTAAAAAAATAAAATAAAATAAATTTTGACCAGCACTGTACTTGCCAAATGTTTTTATGTCATTTATTTTAGCTTTATTTCCATTAACAAAAATGTTTCCTAACAGTTTTAGTTAACGATAACAACACTGCATCATGTACCAGGATTTGGCTGCATGCTGGGAATCAGTGGTGGTATTTTGGGAGATTTCAGCAGAGGTTGCGGTTTGGTCCCTAAAATGCCAGGCTTCGGATTAGATGACATGGAGGGCAGCAGCGGAGGAGGAGATTTGAAGGGCTGACAGAAAGAAACCAGAGAAAGAGACAAACGCTCTGAAGATCAGGTATAAAAAATAACATGGTAATTATACACTCCTTCATTATACTCTCAAGTCATTAAACACGCAGCATCTTGAAACCAAATATTTACATTTTTAGATTAAAAATTGTATTTAATTTTAACCTCCAAGAACTATCATGTTCTCAATAGGCCTGTCGCAATAATCAATATATCGACTTATCGCGCAATATATGTACATGACCTCAATAATTTTTGGTGACGCAATATATCGCCCATTATATTTACTTAAAAATTAATGTCACTGTGTTTATTGTATTCCACTTGCGCCTGTGTCTTTTGCAGCTTCTCGTACATAACGTGGTGTAGTCATGAGGTGCTAGTTCAA